TCCTTCAATTTTCATCCGATTTTCTTGAAGTTTTAATTGCCTTTGCAAATTCTGTATCGATCCATGGTTTCCACAATTTAAAGTTTCTCGATGGCTCAATTTAGTGGGAATTTAAAAAAAAACGCTTTGAATTCCCAACAACGAATTGAGATGGCCTCTAGAAGTGGAACTACATTCTTAACAAGTCTCTGAACTGCGACGCCAATATTTTGTCTTTAAAAATCTATTCTGCTTTCATACATAAAACCAGGACTGTGACTATAAATATGAATTTAACCTGCGAAGACGTCTATCACCTGCCTAAACAAAGCTTTGTGAACGCCCTAAGGGAGCTCTGTTAATTAGTTAGAGTTAAGATGTGATTTGACTTGGAAGCCTCCTCCGTCTAAATTAGAAAGTGCATAATATTTTAGTGGATACCTAATGAGTTTACATAAAAGCACGTTTCAAACAAGCCAAACAAATTTATGTTTGACTACGCAGAACTTTTGTTTACCAATTATTTTCAATCAAATTCGAGATGCTGGGGCGCCCAATCTAAAAGATTCCAACGATATTCATCATGTGAATCTATAAGCAAATGTCTTTCTGAAAAATTGAACAAATTCAAACCACCGTAGCCACCATGCACGCGAGCTCTGTTAGGAAGATGGTAGATACCTTCGCTAGTTAAATTCATATTTACCTTCAGCTGCTTCAGAAATATTCCTATGTTAACTTTTCAGGGAGCCCGTAAAAAATATACATCTTTAATCAACATCAAGCATGTTCAGCTGTCCGTCCGCGACATCGGCTTCGTGTGTGATATCGGCTTCAAATTTGCAAAAGAACTTGAAATTAACCCAAGGCGGTGAAGAGATATGTCTACAATTCAACAAAGAGTTGGAATACCTTTACTTTTCGTGATTTTCACGCGCTACTCGTACACTAAAATATCAGCCACGCCCACCCGATAAGATAGTTTATAGAAATGTACTTTTTACCTTTTCTCTTCAGCCTTTTTCAGGAGAACGTGGTGCATATAAAAAATTAGGTCAGAAGCAACTTACTCGTTTATATAAAAATTTAGCATGATTCTCTTAATTTAAAACATGTAGTGTACGCGTGTGTAATATTCATTCTTAACCAGTTAACTAAGCAAGACGCATATATACGTAATGATCCCTCCGTCCGTTGTCGGATTTCATCCTAAAATTTTACATGTGTTTGCGATAATGCATTTTAAAAAATATTTTTGTCATTTTGTTAAGTCCGCTTATTACAACCGAACTTCACGTTACACATACTCTCAGTTTGTCGAGTATTTTGCTGAAGGGTTTGATAAAGTTAACCGGTTAAGGGGGCCCTAAACTGCAGCAATCTTCCTCTAACTATTTAAACCAAAAAAAATCCAAATTTAACTGATCAAGCAAAACGTATTTAAAAAAAAAAAAAAAAAAAAAAAAGCAAGCAATTAAACATTTATTTATGCATTAGCTTTCTTTACCGAAAATATTTATATACAACGAACCAATAAAATTATATATAAAAATAGATTTTCATATTAAGAAATAAAGAGACACTCATATCCAAAGAAGTATGTTTCAATTACATAATAAAGCATTCCGCAATTGTATCCAACTTTTTTCCATCCTTAATATGAAAAACATTAACATATTTTCAATTTAAATGTCATCGTTCAAGTGAAATGAAGTGAAGTAACCGTCTTGCGATAAAGTGAATAACTTGATATGATGTTAGATACAGAAATAATTCGTTCTTTTCCGAAATCGAGAAAAAATTGTTTGAAAGTAAATGATAGACAAATTCTTTCAAATTTGATTTTTATTAGTTGTATGTAGATGCTAATCCATTTAATTAAGAATGAAAAAAAAAAAAAAACAAAAAAAAAAAAAAAGTGAAAAACTTGTAATTGTCGGATTTACAAACTTAACGAAAAATTCAATTTTTGTTGACCAACTTTGGAAACTTTTCTTCCAGAGAGAAAAGACGAAGAATGCTCATTTTGACAGCACACAAAAGTTGCCAAGAGAGCCGTCGTAAAACATTTAATGCATATATATATATATATATATTTATATAAATATGCTTAAGTAAGGCATAGTAACTCGAGCGAAGGTGGCGTCATAGCCACTAACGGCGGTGTAATGTTGGCAAGAAAAATCACGGTCCGTTAAAATTGTTTGTCACAAATTAATTTATCTACAGAAACTGCTTTCAAAGACAAAATAAAAAACATTAAAAGGAAAAAAGTAAAAAAGTTATGTACAAGAATTTGCATAATTTACACATCGGGAAAAAAATCGCACAGCAAAAAACGAAGAAGAAAAAAAAAAAAAAACAGCAGATTTTATCTCACTAATAGTCGGCTTTTGTGACTTTGCCCTCTTCTTTCTTTTTTTTTTTTTGTTTGCCTCTTTTATTTTATTGAGAAAAGAAACCCAGCCACCCCATCTTCGCTTTATAGTCCGTTTTAACGTACATTGAAATGCGCTTTAGGGTAAAGTTTTCTAACTCATGCTGCCAAGCTCCTTAAAAATTAACTGAAAATGTTTGCCTTACACGCCTGATTTGCTTTGGACATCCTATCGTGCGCGCCAAAGGACGACAGGTATTTGCTATTCGCGACGCGTAAAGTCCAGTTATAATTTACCTTAAGGACATAATTAATTTTTCATAAGCGCAAAGTTAAAATTAACCAAAAGTGTATAATTTTTTCTCAAAGTCTTGTCTGTTTACTTACGTCGTGCATAATCGTCGTACGTAGGTGGGCATTTTACATTAATATATTCACGAGCGCGGGGAAGGTGGAAAAATTGTTCAATTTTCTTTGTTACTTGACAGTAAACTTTTATAAAATGACGGTAGCTTTGGTTACTCAGTTATATGCTGCATATAAATACCAGCAAGTTTCGAACGAATGGATAAAATGCCGCAAATTGTTTTATTCTCCAACCTAGGGTTCGTTTTTATTTTTAGGAATATTTTGCGAAAAAGTATCATCGTTTCCTTATTGCGTTTGTTTTCCATGAAAAAGAAGAAAACGAAGACAAAGATTACAAAGCCTCTCTACGAATAGCGTAACTTCCCTTTAGAAATGTTAAGGTGCGTTCTTTTTCTTTTCATGTTTTATCGTAACGTTTGACCACCGTGTGTACCACCGATTAGAAAGGGATATAAATTGATTGATATTTTTTATGAGCTGGTGTGAAAAATATTGAACCTAGCAATAAAGATACGATACTGATAGCTTCGGTGCTTATCAGGCTGCCTAATAAATTATTGGTTTTTCTTTTTGTTTTCTTAAAATTACTCCGCAACGATGTCTTAACTCGGTCTCCATACACACTCTATAAGGATTAAAGCGAATGGATTCATTCCTTCTACTAGATATCTCCACAATGGAATATTTGACTAAGAGCGTTATAGCGGTGTTTTTATTACTTTTGGCAGAAGACGAAAATAAGACGTTGTGGCTCACGTTGGTACCTTCTTTTGATAGGCACAAGGCTGAAAGCAATATAACAAAAGAAAGGCGGGAATCTTGTCAATTGTGTTTGATTTTCCATTCGCCTTTTTAGAGAGGGCTTGCAAAGGGTTTATGCTGAGTTTGAGATCGATATTTGCAATAAATTGGAAGCTACGGCTTTCTGTCTGTATCGTGGGGTGGATCTTATACACAATTCACCTATTTTCCGACCCGAACTGTAGCCATAAACAATGAGAGTTTGTGAAAAATCTCGGCCCTCGGGTATACAGACGAATATCAGTTAATTGACTTTGAATTTTCTGTTGAAGAAGAAGCATGCATATATTCTTCATGTGGCTATATATTTGCATGTTACAGTCGGAAGAACAAATCAAACACACTTTCAGCTTTCTACGGTAGATTCAATCAAATTGAGGTAAAAAGAATAAAATTAACCAAAATAGATAAGTAAATTCAATGGTTTACCAAGTGTTTATAGTAAATCTAAAAAAAGAAGAAATTCGAACAGTGTACGTATTCACCATATATCTGTAAAAATGCTTCCTCTTTACAACAAAAATTAAGTTTATATCTTTAAAGTGTAAACAAAAGAAAAAAACTATCTTTAGAGACTTTTGCCGGGTAGACAACCCACAATCCTAGTAAACCGGTGTTAGTAGAGGGCGCCACGTCACTACAATCATGTGTAGAATGTAGTAATAGAAATTGGACCCAAGCCGTTTATAATCCTTTTCTTATTGTATTTTTTTAAACATCAATAAAAGCAACTTGTGTGAAGAATTAAAACAAATCAAACATAAAGAGAGAATCATTCTCATTACGGACTACAATAAAAAGTGCTACTTAAATAATGATGTCGTACACGTCCCACAATTTGTATTTGCGATAAGTATCACTTAAAGAGGAGGGGGATGTTGCTACATATTTTACGTTCTTCAAGCCACTTTAAGTTGCGTGTATACAAACTTGAAATTCTTTTTTTTTTTTCTTTTTTCTTCATACGTATGTGTTTCTCTTTAATCTCTTCTGCCTTTTTTTTTTAGAATATCATTGAATTGGAAAAGAAATTGTTAGAATACAAGGCATTCGATAATGATTCAAATTGGCATAAATGACAGCAGTTGTTAATGGGAACCATAAAGATAAGTTCATTGTGGAGAAATGTAGTCAGCCAGCAAGCAAGCAAGCAAGCAAGCAAGCAAGCAAACAAGCAAGTAAGCGAGCAATAGGGGTGGCTGACTTCTTCGAAGATTACGCGGAAATTATATTTAATTTATTTCAGTTGGTTTTTTCTTAATTCCCCCACCGCCCACCCTCGCTACTACCCCACATATTATATCATTACATAAAGCGAAGATAGTACGCTATAAAGTCACAGATTCACAATTTATTATCTTGAAAATTATGCCATCAACATAATTTAAGCATAACTGTGGTAGAATGTTGTTCCTTTTTTTTTCGAAGATAAAAAATAGTCTTAAAATCTTAAATTATTGAAATTTTAACTTACCTTTTTCTTTATAACGATTGTGAGGTGCTAATGATGATTCTTTTAAATAGTTTACCACATTTAAACGGATACGCGGATACGTGCGGATCAATCGAAAACATTAAGGTTTCAATCTAAGTATTGTTGCTGTAGTTTATATGTATTGTAAGGTGCCGTCGAACTAGTGCACCCACGATGGTGGTGTTACTACGCTTGACTGTGTATATTGTACCCTTGCATTCATATTAGCACCAGATGACTGCGTCGATAGCTCCAAGCCTGATGTAAGTGCTGCGGTATTATTGCCACTATTTAGCAGTGGCGGTAGTTGTTGCGATTGTTGTTGGCTATGTGATTGTTGCTGCTGCTGTTGCTGTTGCAATTGCGCTTGCAATTGATTGAGCTGTTGGTGCGCTGTTACCATATCTGCGGCTGTTATGTTATTGGCTGTGTTAACGCAACCAATTAACCCATTATTGCTGCTATTAAGAGTATTGGTACTGGCATTACTGCTGACAGCTGTCAATGGTATATTGATGTCGAGCAAGCCGTCAATGCTCATTTCATGCTGCATCAACTTTTAAAAAACGGAACAAGGGCAAGTAATTTTTAATTAAAATCCTTTCATATTGCAATCTTTTCGACTTAGGGCAAAAAGTTTCCTTTTAAAGTCAATCAATACAATTTGCATTGTTTTACAAAATTTTCCATATACGGGAAGAATCTTTCAATTAACATTCAGTTCTACGTACCTCTTCAATGTTGCATTCCAGGCCACCTTGAAAATTGTCGATATTAAATTCAACAATTGGCGTCTCATTGTTTAGGGCTTCCATGCATTGTCCAATCAAAGTTGAAGCGCAATTATTGTCTGTAATGTTAATGGCATTAGTTTGCATCTATTTGCAGTAAGCTAAACATGAAACTTATGATAAAATGGTGATCGGGATTAAAGAGTACATACTCCTTTCCAATCAATATAAACTCTTTCCAATTTCAACTCTTCCGATATGCTCTACGAATTCTTCGACTTAAGTCAAGCAGAAAACGAGGGAAGAAACCAATTACTCTTAGTTGAATTCTAGCTTTCGAATTGAAACAAACTACTTAATAATAATTAAAAAATTTTAATCAATATATTGGTTCTATATGCCCAAAGAAAAATCCGATATTTGATGCGAATTGATTGATATGCACTAAGCGTTTCATTGATATAAAAGGCTTCCCTCGCACACTCGCTATGCACTGAGCTGTTTGTGTAATGCGTAAAATTGCATATTCCAAAGTTGTTGTAAGTGGACGCAAAAAAGTTTGCTTCTCCCGAGGAAAAAGGAAATAGAACATATATCTTATCGTATAAGATCGCGCGTACCGTAAACGCATTGTGCGTTATAAGCTACGTTTTGTTTGTACAAAAAGCTGGAATGAAATTAATATGGGCCTGATCCGTTTCTAATGCGCTTAAGAAACTTAGCAGTAAAAGGCTTCTTCAAAAGTTCACTGTAAACATAAATACTTCATTCATTTTAATCGATACCTTCTAGATTTGCGGTTAGAGATTGATTTTGGTGTTGGTGTTGTTGTTGTTGCCGTTGCTGCTGCTGTTGTTGTATCAGTAGCACAGAATTTGTACCTGTCGTCACCATAGAGCTATTATCCATTACTACTCCACTATAAGTATTCAGTGAGTCGGAAGAGGGTTCACTGTTTGGGTAGGCAGGCGACATGGTTGTAACAGAATTAGGCGAAAGGCCCTAAAATACATTACCATTATAAACTCAAAAATTATTTTCCAATAGAATTCGTTTAAATTATTCCTTTTTCACTTACGTCACGACTATTGTGTAAGCAGGTGCAGGTCAGTGAACGATGCAGCATACACTGTTGGATCTGCAGACTATTGTAACCTTGCGAAATGGGTCCATTAATATTATAGGCTTGCTGATTGGAAGGATAAGGTGGCGGTGGCGGTTGAGAAGCAATACTTGACGCGGCACTAAACCTGTGCCAACCATATGATCGTTTGGTTTCAAAGAGAAGTAAAATTAAATTGAATTTATTTATCTGTTCATAAGATTTTGTAAACTTTAAAATGACTTTTCATTGAAACGATTTTCTCCTTCGAAAATCCGTTTTAATATTCCCTACGATCGGCATGCAATGAATTATTCTTTATAGTGTTTGCATTTGCTTTCATGCTTTCAACGACTAATAAATGTTTTCATAATTTTTCAAAAGGAACGAAAAAAATAACAAAAAAGTAAGAAAAAGTTAAATTATAAATGACTGACCCTTGTTGCATCATATCCTTTTGTAATTTTAATTCTTCCGCTATTGAACCGGCCAACTGGTCCAATGTTGTCGACTGAGCTGAATTTATTGGAGCGTTTTGATAATCGGGTGAGAAGTTCCAATCCAGTTCCAAACCTACAAGAGCAGGTCGTGGACTCAGACGTCCACAGGAACTAGCGTTCGACGAGGCACGTTGCCGGAAGTCAGGTGATATGGGATAGCCACTAATTTTAATTTTCATTCAAATTATACAAAAATAAACAACGAAAAAAAGGAAATCAAATAAAAATAAAAAATTCCATGTATTTTAAATAAAAATTGAAGAAAATATATTAACTAAAATATTTAAAAAACAAATCGATGCCTCTTATAATTATATTTATTACATAAGTATTATATTTAAGTTTACTTCATGTTATTAAAAGCTAAACTTTTATTGCGGTAAACATGCTTAAGGTGGTACGGGCACGACTTAGTATGTATTGGATGGATGTAGTTGTTTGAAAACTTTTAAGCTTTAAAGAATTTTTTTTTTTTTTGTTTTTGTAAACATATATCTTACATTGGAATTCCCTTTTTTTTTAACTTCCTACTTTGAATTTTTATGATAGAAATATTAATTGAATGCTATTGAATGCGGACAAAATGAGTAATGAGTAATGAGTAATAAAAAGAAGACAACAAACTTTCCTAACCGATTTACTACACCCAAGCCAAGTTTTAGAGGGGGGAAAGATAGTGTGCATTATCATTTATTACAAATCTTAGGGAAGTTAGAACAAATAAGAACACTATTGTGGGCCACGGCCCACCACTAAATACCCTGCTCCACTATGCGGTAATTTGTCCTCGTAAGAGCGCTCCGATCCGAACTATTCTCAATAGCGCTCGTCGTTGGGTCAAAAGATTTCAATATAACAAATTTCGTGAAAATGTTTGAAAAATTGCTGCCTATAGGCTAAATAATACGAAACCGACAGAAGGACAGACAAACTTAAATCGATTTTAAAAATGATTCTGAATCTATCGATATAATAGTAGGTGGGACTATCCCAAGGCCTTCTTGGACTTAATATACGGTATAAAAATCAATAATATGGAGGATATTTATAGCATCGGAAGCCTGATAGTTTGACATGAATCGTGTATTTTCTTGATAGCATGCTGTCAGTAAACGTAATATGGCAATGCCGTGCACGCTAGAGACTTCAAGATCATAGATGTGTATAAAGTGTTGGAATTCTTATACTAACTTTTCATATATCTAGTCAACCTAAAGGATTTTCCTAAGACTTAACGGTACTCGTTACTTAAATGATTTCTTGGGAATAAACTAAATCCACCTAAAACTCTCTTCGGAACTTTCGTTAAGCTGAACAAGATTTAGGCATTCATAACAAATTTGTAAACGAAAAAAAGTACCGACTGACTGGCCACGGTAGGTAAGTTGTGTAAATTTGGAGCTTATGTAAAAAATCACGTATCCCGGCCCAAACGATCCTGGTATTTTGATACATTGGCACAAGCCTACGCTTGTTAAGCTGTTAACCGCGAATATCTTTCTTATATTGTTCCGTAATTCCATAGAAGAGTTTCGCAGTTGAATTGTCAAGGAAATTTTAAATAAATGCCACAACTACGTCTCGAATTTTTTCCTTTAGAATGAGATAAATAAAACTGATTTTTGGCTCTTGTTGTTGGAAAAATGCTTATTTAGAGAAGCGGACGAGAAAGGTTTGTGTTATATTTAGGACATGCTTAGTACTACTTACAATAATGAAAAAATCTAAATTTAAGTAAAGCATTATATACAAGGAAGAAACGAGAAACAAGCGCTACTTTAGCTAAAAACGGTATAATTTAAGGCGAACTTTTTTTAAAAAATTGAAAGAACAAAAGCGAAAAGTAAATATTTACCTATGCAGCGGACTTTCCGGAAACTGATCGAGACCTTCACTGACGCTACTACTTGGCGATGGTGTGTTATCGTTAAGTACAACACCTGTCACGCCGGCTTGACGTAAGGCTTCGACACGCTTTTTGGCGCGCCCTCGACGCTTCTCGTATCTTGAGGTCTCCATTGAGGCCGCACGTCGTCGCACCGATTTTCCCGGCTTAGCGTCAGGATTTAACATCCACCACGACGACTTGCCGGTACCTTCGTTTTGTACACGCATGAATCGATTATGCAGCGAAAGATTGTGCCTAATTGAATTCTGTAAAGAGACGAATGCGATTTGAGTGATTACATAAGTTTTCTGAAAATGAAATAAAATATAGAGTCAAGTCGATACACACAGCACACATCAGTTTTGTTATAATAATTGTCATAAATCTTATTTGAAAACGACTTCCTTCCATACTGCGTTGAACAATGGAAACTATGTAATAAATGCGAAATCAATGGTAAAAATCAAACACAAATCATTCGTCGCGTGCACAGTTATTACGGATGACAATGCCAATTTCTTGAAACGGTTTTTCTTTTATTTTTCGCAAAATTTGCAAAATCTACCAAAGAAACTGTTATTTGCTGAGACGATCAGTGCTATGCTATGCTATGCTGCATCTGATGTAGCACAACTTCAAACAATTTCAGCCATCGTGATATAAGAAAAACCCATGTAATAATGCTCCAAAAAACAAATTCAAACAACAAATAGCACAAGTATATTGTACGTATATATGTATGTATGTATGTATGTAATATAGTGTAATATATACCAACAATACGCGAAGACTTCCGCACTGGAATCGTTCTTGTGTCTTAAATGCCATTCAATTGTCTGACGACAGTTTTATAGTTTCAGTTCATTCAGAATTTCGCTTTTTCTCTGCATTACTAATTGGATGTTGCTGCCGGCAGCATTGCTCAGAAGACGCTGCCTGCTGATGCCTCGTAAATAAGACGCAACATCAGCAGCCGCATGTATATCGAAAAAAAAAAAAACAAAAACAAAAACGTCATCACTTAAGCTGTCAATTCATATTTTATAACACCCAATAATAAATGTGCGGAATTTCATACGAGTAGTAATAGCAGTAGCTGTAGCAGCAGTAGTAGTGGGAAGAAACGTTTAAAAAACGATACACCGACCGCGCGTTCTGAGGCGATACCTAAACCACCTTGCCTACGTACATTAGCTTAAAGCTTGCAGAGAATAACGTTGAAATAAAACCTTTATTTTTTTAGGTTAGTAAACTTTTTAACGGTTTACGGGTTGATGACGAGCTTCTATTTCGCCACATTGGCGCCATTTATCACCGTGTGTTACTTTCACATTCACATGCACGCACAAAACAAAAAAAAAAAAAATTAAAAGGAAGAAAAAAACCAAGAAAATTGTTGAAGGTTTATATTTAGTAACTATCAGTCCGTCTATCTTTCAGTTTGTCTGTCTGTCCGTCTGTCCGTCTGTCTATCTATTTGTTTGTCTTTCCCCATTCGCACATTCATATATACTAACAATAACATTTCCATGGCTGGGCACACATGCACACACACATATACATTGCGAAGAGCTTGTCTGAGCTTCACCATCATCGTCATCATCATCATCACCCCTTTTGTCCTGTATTGGGATATTCTGTCTGTGTGTGGGTGACTATTTTTAAGAGATGTCACCAAAAAAATCATAACTTTGGTTCTAGTTGTATTCGGTTGTTGCTTTTTTTTTTCTTCTGGTAAAAGGAAAAGCAAAAAAAAAAAATTTTTTTTGGCGTCACTCTAGCGAGACATAGATGACATCGGTATAGTTTTCCACGTTGAAAAGCCATCTGAAACATATCCTGTAAACCTTTGCTAAATTTCCGACACATATTCACATATACATATAACTATGTACACACATACACAAATTATGCGTGCGGTATTGTATTGTAACTTGAACGATAATTTCAAGTCTTTTTTTTTTTTACATTTATTAAATTAATAAATAAAAATACTTCCGAAGAAAATATAAAAAATTGTATAACGTCTCCAAATCAATTACCGACTCTTGAAGTATTAGCAACGTTTCTGGAGAGCAGCGGACAAATTTATAAAAAAAAAATAAAAGCCGACAAAGGATTTTTTGCAAACAAAGTAGCTTTGACACAGATCTCTATCATTATGGCTCTTCGGTGCAATATTTTCATTTTTACCAATGTTTCTATTACTGTTGTATTACTGCATTTACTGTATTTACTATAATATCCTTACTGCTTCGGTTTGTTTTCATTTGTCTTAAGCCGTAATTACTTCAAGACAATCATTTCGACAGCGTCGAGTGGAGGCTGGCTTTATAAACCTTGGCTTGATCGCTTTAGAATTTCACTTTTCTTTCCACATTTAATATGTTTTTTAATACCAGTTTCTTCTTCTTCCCCTTCTTCTTCTTCTTCTTAGTGATCTGAAGAAATTGACTTGTTTAGCACATCTTCACTTGTTTTTATGGCAGTAATTAAAAGCATAACTTGAAAAAAAGATTCCTTTGCTTTTCTTTTATGAATGAAATCTCTTCTTGACTCATATTTAATGTATAAATGAATGTCATGTCAGGCTATGATTAATAAGCTTTAAACAAAAGGAGAAAGTTATTTAACTTATCTCACTGCGAAAATAACCAACCAACCGCCCCTAATTTTATAAAAATAATTTATTATCAAGTTTATGATTTCGTTTGAAAACTAGCTCGCACCGGTGTCGCCATAAAATGTGTATACATGGTGTGCCCCTTGATTCTATTCCTATTCTGTTCATAAACTTTTCAAGAAGAAAGCATTTATTTATAAAAGATAATCAATAAAAGACCTTATGGTGTTTTTAAGAAAAAGCAAAAACTTCAACTTTTCAAAATTGATGCTGAAACCTTACCAACTTAATTTAGGCCCACGTGGGCCAATTGGGGTCAATTACATTAATAGGAATGTCACTGAAAACCGCGGAAAAAGTTTTGTTTGTCTTAACCTGAATCATGGATGTCCGCTAATTAATCGCAAAGCTTCGTGGATGCATTAGCTGGTCAACTTAATCGAGAGACAAAAGGCTTCAAGAAAAGGCGACATATGATTGAATAGAAGCTGAAATGCGTACAAATCGACTAAGAATTCGATACATAGTTGTATGCGCGTATAGTACATTAGTACATAGAGGCAGCACAAAACAAAATCAAAATCATTGATGAAAAAAAAAATAAATAAAAATAAATAGTGAAAGCTTGTCTTTTAATCTAAAGTTGATTATAATAAGTTTCTTAGCAAGTGTGGGCATGAGCGTGTATACGCATAGCGTCTAATTTCAAGCTTGTTTGTTTGGTGGATGTACGTCGATCATTTGGTATCATTTTGGCGTTGCAAGCTCAAGCTCCACTTCTAGGTCTAAAGACAAACAATAATACATATGCTCACAGTAATCTGGTCACGCTAATGGGGAAGATCTATATTTTTTAGGCAGGCCTATTTGTCACTTTTGCATTTCGAGGTGCCCCAGCTGTTATTGTGTCACAGTTAAATTTATTATTATTATAATTAGTGTAGGCAGAGAAATAAATTGCAAGAGTAAAGTCTTAAAGGTCTACTACCATCTAAGGCCAACGGCTTTATTGAAAACTCTACCTCACTTGAGATTCGAACCCACGACTACGACCACTGACTTGTTAGTCATCCGTTCAGGCGGATGATAGTTAAATTTAAAATGAATAATTATAGAGAATTGAAATATCGAAATTGATTGGTAAACGATAGGCTAAAGTGCACCGTACGCTATATAGGAAAGATTATCTTTAAACATGTAGTTGTGGAGAGAGTTTTTAAACTGCTCTCATACTCTCACAGAAAGGCTTAAAAGGAGCTATCAACAAAAGCCTGTTTATCTTAATGGAAGAGCAAAGTTTTTTCGTTACTGGCAAACGTTTACTTTCCTTTCTAGGGTTTGTCTGCGTTTAACACTCGTCAAGAATGGTTTACAGTAGCTTAGTAGCTGCCCCTCACTCTCTATAAAGTCTATCGATTCAATATCCGACTGTTTATCTATAAAAATAGCAAACTTTCTGAAGGCAAAAAATTGATCTGCAAGCGCAGATGTCATTTAAAATAATTTGTCTTCAAGTTGCAAGCAATGACGGGAAACGCAAGTGAAATATATGTTGAAGCGTTACATTAAGAATAACCTGTTGATTGCATATAATTAACAACAACACATTTAAACACTTCATCTTAATCATAGTGATGAAGCAATTGTTTAAATTTGTACCGTATCCATGCACGCATTAACGGCGCGCACGCAACAAATTGCTGTTCGTTGTCCGTTTAAAAATAAGAGAAAGCGAAATATTTCACTATTTTTTATGTTTATCGTAAAAATAGCGTTAAACTGCAAGAGAGCAGCTGAACATTTTCACATTGTCATCATCAATCGGTAACTAAGGTACAACAAATTTCAATATATAAATAATAAATGAAAGAAAAAAAAAAAAAACAAAACGCTCGCCAAACACAAAAAGAAATCACATTTAGATCCAAAAGCCTAGATATAAATTTTGTATTAGTTCGGTCACTTGTCACTGACCATTTATTCGATTTTTCCCTTTATTACTCATCGCATTTATAAAAAAGCGAAAAAATTTGTTTGCTTTAATTGAAAAGTATTTTAATATAATTTAACTGCTATTAACCACGAAATGATAAAATTAAAAAAAAAAAAAAAAAAAAAAAAAAAAAAAACTTTTTAAAAAATAAAATTAAAAAAATTAAAAAGGGAGGAAAAAAATATTTTTTTTTTTTTTTTTTTTCTTTTGTTCCTTTGCCACCGCTTTTTTGGGCGAAAGATAATAGAAAGGTAATGAATAAAAAAAAAAAAAAATGGAAAACGAGTATATAAAAACTGATAACAGATAATGTAAAAAGTGAAGCATTAAGTCTAAGTAAAACGACTTTTTAATTTCAAAATTAAAAATTCCGCCTATGATAACTTGCTAAAGAAAAGTAATTCACTCCGGAGACAACGGAGATAACAATCCGTACGTATGAATATGAATTGAATGGAAATGATTTTTATCTCCTAGAGTAGATATGGGCAACTGTCGGCACGCAACGCTCATCTCAACGATCCGCTACGTTTATACATTAATTAATTCAACTTATTCGCACTTAGCAAAAGGATTACAACCGGCTTTGTTGTGTAGCTTAGTTTGTGTAGTTTAAGTGTTTTTTTTTTTGTGTTTTGTTCATTAGGCCA